TCTTCTAGATCCACAAATGTTGTTTTCAAAAGAATTAGTTTTGCTATCCAGAAAAGGCTAGCGGCACAGCTTGTTGCATGTTTGCCTTCCATCGATGTGTATTGAACTATATTTGATTTCAATCCAAAAAAACCATATTTTTACCGAAAAAAAATAACAACAACTACTAAATAAATAAGATTATATTTATAAAACACTTGTAAATAAATATTATACATACATCTTTTAGAAAATATTAAACATGCAGTTGAAAAAATCAATTATATGTTTGCAGTGAAATGAATTTTCAATAAATGATCAACTAACACATTTCATAGATCATACATGAGAAACCCGGAACTAGCCTGAGTTGAACCGAAAGTATCAATAACCGGGTCGGTTCCTAGTTCAAATGTTTTTCAATTTACAATTTCCAGGTAAGATCCGGACCAGACCAGAAAAATGTTAGTAAAAATGGACTAGAATCGATATATAAGGAAATGATTTTTTTTTATCGAGATGAACTACATATAAAAAGGTTGTATATATATGAAAATGTCTTATTCGATTATAAGCTTTTATAAAATGTATTATTGTTTTTCAAATTTTTAGTATGTATTTAATTTTTTATATGAAGTTTATACATAAATATTAAACCTTATATATATATTATTAATTGATATAATTTAATAGAATACATGACATTGCAAATATTAAATATTGTATTTAAAATACAATTAATAAATAAAAATAAATTAGAAATATATAAAATAAAAAAGGATTAAAATCGACCATTGAAACATAACTTTATTTTTGAAGGAATGAACTCTAGGACTATTAGAGCACCTGCTATGGTTACACAAAACGCCGTTATTGCCTATATGACACTCTAATAACATGATCATAATATTATAAACACCATTTTTCCCATTGATGTTATGAGATATCTTTTTGTGGTTTTGACATATTGAAACAAAAACATTGATTGGCTGCCTTCTCTTAATTTTCTATTAACGTTATAACATCATGAACATTATTTTTCTCATGGTATTATAACACCACCTCAACGGGTCGTAGCTAATGCTTTTATTTGTTTTTCAAATAATGATAATAAAATTGGGGTATTGTAAGAAGAATGAAAAAAAAAAAAAAAAAAAAAAAAAAAAAAAAAAAAAAAACAACCAGGATTTGAGAGGTGTTGGACTTTAGAGATGATCTAACATTCTATAATTGTTTTATTTAGAAATGTTTAATAATTACTTTCAAATGATATAACTTCTCCATAAAAAAAATATTTATTTTTGTTTTTTAATTTACTTAAATAGATTGACTATTAATTAAAAATAAAATATCTAATATCTAAATAAAAATAACTTTTAAAAAAAATTATAGGAGATTGTATGGTAGGTGATTATGTTTTGATTAGACACAACATAAGTAAATTTAATAGTTAGCTTGAATATGAATTAAAAAACAAATAAGTTTGTATTTCAAATGCGAAATTCCTACTAATATCAAACCAAAGAAAAACCATGGTGATGTGAATCTTAAAGAAGCCATTGATGTTGTAATTTCAACCACTGGAATAAAGATGGTGATGAATATGAAGCAATCAAGCTATCTACCGATGGGGATTTTTATCGACTACTTACAAACGGACACACAATCGTTACAACCACGGAGATGAATTTAAGTCGAATCCAACGGCTCTCGTTACTTTACTCTTTTCAACGGCGGTGGCAGACTCGTTATCGCCGGAGATTATACTCACGCTCGATTCTGATCTCGACGGCAAGGACTGAATCCGTGCTGCTTCATCACCTCCGATGGCCGGTTGCGTCACCGTAGACGACCGTTTCTGGTGTTTTATTTGCCGTAATGAACAGTTAAGGTCAACCTGATTTCAAAAACCAACAAATTATCAACGTTTATTATCGTCTGATTTCGAGAGTTCATCTACAAACTAGCTAAAAAGATTTAGGGTAGAATTTGAACATTCTGTTTAAATCTTTTAACAATTTGTTGAAGTTCAAACAATATCACCGTTTAATCATAAGCAGTTTTTCAATGACTACAATTAAATATAAAAATAGGTACAACGGAAAAATGTTTTCATACCTCG